ACTTTTATTCACTCTTTGCTTAGTCTACCTACAAGATGAGATCTCTAAGTTATGTTCTAGCCATTGTAGCAATTGTTTTCCTTCTAAGCACCAAACCATATCAAGCCTGNATCCCGTTTTTGTTTGAAAATAGGCTCAATAACCCCTCTTTTAAATAAAAAATGTGATAAGTAATTGTAGTGATCGCCGCAGATGAAAAATGTATTTACTAAACACACCATTTAGCAAATTTTGTTTAATAAACAAGATTTTCACCTGTTGCCCACAATATTTTTATATTTAGCTAACGTTTTTTTATTTAAAAACGAGGTGGTTGACTCCACTTTCTAACAAAAATGAGATTATTAACCCTATTTTTTAAGAAATGTTGTAATTTGATAATTAAGTTCAAAAATATTGTAAATCAATAATAAAGCTTAAAAATTACTGTATTGTGGTAAATAACTTCACTCAATCCTCTCCTTAGACTGATTCCAAATCATGAAATCTATGGACCGTGCGTCATAAGTTAAAGTAGAAACTTTTTCGTGCATGTGCGCTAACCGACCCGGTCCCTTATTTGACATTCCCAATTGTAGGAGGAATGTGGCGAAGAAGCAAATCTCTATTTCTAATAGCAGCAAACCCCTTTCGTAACACACAAGAAGCTTGAATTTTATTTTTTTTAATAGTTTGAATATGGGGAAGAAGGAAACGAGGTTTGACCCTGCAATTATAAGATTTAACGACGGGACAATAATTAGTAGGGCAACGGCTAAATCCTCAAGAAAGTTGAATTTGAAAGTATGTAAGACTAGTCCACACATAGATTAGGGACTGAACTTGTCAATGTAAGTGTTAATGGGTTAAACGAGGAGGCAGTCATATCCCTGCGTCATTGAATTCCATTCTTTGCCAAGCAGCGTCAGCAAAACATAGTCTCTGCGACCAGAACTTGCAAGATATTCAAATGCCCAAATACAAAAACTAGCCACTCACGGACCACTGGCTAAACCCATTCCTTCTTTTGGTATATAACCATATTTACCATAATAGAAACATGGGTTCATTACTCTAGAGGTTCTCAAAATATGAGGTTTCGAATTACTTGGACTCGATTCGAGCTCGACTTGTTGAATAATTTTTTACACTTGTTTAAAAATAAAACATAAAAAATTTGGCTCGAGCTCGCAAATTTTAGCTCATTTATATGTGAAATAGTTGAGTTACTCGAGTTCGACTCGTTTTGGTCTTGACTCAAGCTAAGATTATTTTTTAAACGAGCCGAACTTGAATAATTTTTTAAACTCGTTTAAAAAACGAGCTAGACAAGCTCGGCTCAAGTTCGCAAAACTCGGTTCGATTAACAGTCATAATTCTATGGCGGGTTTTATGATAGAATAATACTATTTGATTTTAAAATATTAATTTGATTTGTTGATTTAATAAATCACACCTGATGAATTGATAGTAGGTCTGGCAAAAAAAAAATGATAGTAGATCCCAACAAACTCAATCAGCATATATTATTCAAGAAAATATTCAAGGTAAATGAGTTAATATGTCACTGTCATCACATGACATCACCATTCAATAATAACGAAAAAATAAATAGATATATATGAACCTCACAAACTTCAATAACTACCGGCGCATCAAATAATATAATAATTATACCAAATAAAGAATTGAGTTTTATTTATTCATTTGTTACTTTACTATTAGATGCTGACACTCAAGATATTACTAATATAGTATCACCGTTATTTACTTCATATTATTTTATAATGTTCAAAAAAAAAAAGGACAAATACAACGACCAAGGAAAAACCTAACCAAAAAAAAAAAATAAAATTGGGATGTTCATGGAATACGTATTTATTCAGAAAGTAAAAAAAAATAATGCTTGAAGGCTTTCAGTATTGAAGGTTGTAAACCTAGTTCATTTCTTCAATTCTGACCCATTCAATTTCAATCTTCCCAATGCCCATCAGTCAATATTCAAAACCTTTATTATCAAACTTAAGAACATGAAAAATTCAAGTCGTATATACAATTTACATGACTTGATGGGTATCAATACAACATATCTTTGCATTTATATTCACCATACTTTTATTCACTCTTTGCTTAGTCTACCTACAAGATGAGATCTCTAAGTTATGTTCTAGCCATTGTAGCAATTGTTTTCCTTCTAAGCACCAAACCATATCAAGCCTGCAGACTGCTAGATGGAGAAGAAAGAGACCGGTTGAAAAATAAAAATATCGTCGTGCAGTCCCTGCAGTCTGGAGGATCAAATGGGTGCACCTACATCCCCAAACGCGGTGGTCCTCCTTGCAAGCTCAATAATAAGAACTTTGTGCGTCACACCATGTCTCCTCCTCCTCCTCCGGCATACCCACAACTCATGGTTCCAAGTGGCACAGCCACTGGTCGCAAATGAAGGCCAACAGGGACGACCATTAGCAACATGACAATACTTCAGAAGTCAGGACATTAAATGTAAGAAGAAAAACAGAAGCGAACCAAACTTTTTTTTTAAAAAAAAATTATTTATACATAAGTTGCGTGTATTGGATATAATAGAAGTTAGTACACAGAAAAAGAATAAGGGGATGTTGTCTTTGTAATCTGTATACATGTTAAAGACAAATAAAAACCTTAAAAAGTGAAAGGTAAGTCTTTACTCATATTTTTGCTGCTACTTGTGTCTCGTTATGTTTTCACAAATATTATTTTTTGCTATTGGCTACTAAACAATAGCAATTTTTCACTGTCTCACAAATTACAAGTCCCAATTTTGAGTCTAAGGCTGCCACTATACAGTTCAAAAACGTAATTCAAACGATCTGAATCCATATAAGAGTTATGTTAACTTTTGAGATAGAGGAAGTACCGATGAGTAGCCATTGACAGTAAGGTTGTTTGCACTCATTTTGGCCAGTTGAATCAGCAAAGGAGTTAACAAATCCGCATTCAATTCATATCCCCTAGACATATGCTCACCTAATACAGGGAAGCTCTGGTGGCACAGTAAATACCGTTGAATATGCAACACTGGAAAAGCAGATAACAAATTCTCCGGCTGTTAATTGGAAATTAACAATGTGATTGAGCTTTTTTGGGGTCTCCTAGTTTGAAGATGATGGCTTGGCAGAAGCCACAGCACTAACTATAACAACTAACAAATATGAAACTCCCATGGCATCCAGAGGATTGAATGGTGAAACAAGTTCCACTTCAAGTTCAAATCCTTGCCTTCAAGTTTTTCTGGCAAGTTAAGGCTAGATTCTAGAATACTCGGTTGGCACACTTCAAAACTTCCGATTTAACTACCAGATGTGCAAAAGTTTTCTCAGTGCCCTTCCATATCAAATTTCTTTGTCTTTCATTATCTTGCCCTATAGGTAGGGAATTCAGATACATTGGGTACAAATGATGCTATGAGATGCTCCACCATTTGTAATGCTACAAAGAAACAAAGGATNTGGAGGTTCTCAAAATATGAGGTTTCGAATTACTTGGACTCGACTCAAGCTCGACTTTTTGAATAATTTTTTAAATTTGTTTAAAAATAAAACATAAAAAATTTGGTCTGAGCTCGCAAATTTTAGCTCATTTATATGTGAAATAGTTGAGTTACTCGAGTTCGACTTGTTTTGATTTTGACTCAAGCTAAGATTATTTTTTAAACGAGCCAAACTTGAATAATTTTTTAAACTCGTTTTAAAAACGAGCTAGACAAGCTCGGCTCAAGCTCGCAAAACTCGGTTCGATTTACAGTCATAATTCTATGGCGGGTTTTATGATAGAATAATACTATTTGATTTTAAAATATTAATTTGATTTGTTGATTTAATAAATCACACCTGATGAATTGATAGTAGGTCTGGCAAAAAAAAAATGATAGTAGATCCCAACAAACCCAATCAGCATATATTATTCAAGAAAATATTCAAGGTAAATGAGTTAATATGTCACTGTCATCACATGGCATCACCATTCAATAATAACGAAAAAATAAATAGATATATATGAACCTCACAAACTTCAATAACTACCGGCGCATCAAATAATATAATAATTATACCAAATAAAGAATTGAGTTTTATTTATTCATTTGTTACTTTACTATTAGATGCTGACACTCAAGATATTACTAATATAGTATCACCGTTATTTACTTCATATTATTTTATAATGTTCAAAAAAAAAAGGACAAATACAACGACCAAGGAAAAACCTAACCAAAAAAAAAAAAAAAATTGGGATGTTCATGGAATACGTATTTATTCAGAAAGTAAAAAAAAATAATGCTTGAAGGCTTTCAGTATTGAAGGTTGTAAACCTAGTTCATTTCTTCAATTCTGACCCATTCAATTTCAATCTTCCCAATGCCCATCAGTCAATATTCAAAACCTTTATTATCAAACTTAAGAACATGAAAAATTCAAGTCGTATATACAATTTACATGACTTGATGGGTATCAATACAACATATCTTTGCATTTATATTCACCATACTTTTATTCACTCTTTGCTTAGTCTACCTACAAGATGAGATCTCTAAGTTATGTTCTAGCCATTGTAGCAATTGTTTTCCTTCTAAGCACCAAACCATATCAAGCCTGCAGACTGCTAGATGGAGAAGAAAGAGACCGGTTGAAAAATAAAAATATCGTCGTGCAGTCCCTGCAGTCTGGAGGATCAAATGGGTGCACCTACATCCCCAAACGCGGTGGTCCTCCTTGCAAGCTCAATAATAAGAACTTTGTGCGTCACACCATGTCTCCTCCTCCTCCTCCGGCATACCCACAACTCATGGTTCCAAGTGGCACAGCCACTGGTCGCAAATGAAGGCCAACAGGGACGACCATTAGCAACATGACAATACTTCAGAAGTCAGGACATTAAATGTAAGAAGAAAAACAGAAGCGAACCAAACTTTTTTTTTAAAAAAAAATTATTTATACATAAGTTGCGTGTATTGGATATAATAGAAGTTAGTACACAGAAAAAGAATAAGGGGATGTTGTCTTTGTAATCTGTATACATGTTAAAGACAAATAAAAACCTTAAAAAGTGAAAGGTAAGTCTTTACTCATATTTTTGCTGCTACTTGTGTCTCGTTATGTTTTCACAAATATTATTTTTTGCTATTGGCTACTAAACAATAGCAATTTTTCACTGTCTCACAAATTACAAGTCCCAATTTTGAGTCTAAGGCTGCCACTATACAGTTCAAAAACGTAATTCAAACGATCTGAATCCATATAAGAGTTATGTTAACTTTTGAGATAGAGGAAGTACCGATGAGTAGCCATTGACAGTAAGGTTGTTTGCACTCATTTTGGCCAGTTGAATCAGCAAAGGAGTTAACAAATCCGCATTCAATTCATATCCCCTAGACATATGCTCACCTAATACAGGGAAGCTCTGGTGGCACAGTAAATACCGTTGAATATGCAACACTGGAAAAGCAGATAACAAATTCTCCGGCTGTTAATTGGAAATTAACAATGTGATTGAGCTTTTTTGGGGTCTCCTAGTTTGAAGATGATGGCTTGGCAGAAGCCACAGCACTAACTATAACAACTAACAAATATGAAACTCCCATGGCATCCAGAGGATTGAATGGTGAAACAAGTTCCACTTCAAGTTCAAATCCTTGCCTTCAAGTTTTTCTGGCAAGTTAAGGCTAGATTCTAGAATACTCGGTTGGCACACTTCAAAACTTCCGATTTAACTACCAGATGTGCAAAAGTTTTCTCAGTGCCCTTCCATATCAAATTTCTTTGTCTTTCATTATCTTGCCCTATAGGTAGGGAATTCAGATACATTGGGTACAAATGATGCTATGAGATGCTCCACCATTTGTAATGCTACAAAGAAACAAAGGATTAAGCCATTTGCTTGCTTTTAAAACTGAGACCCTGCAGGATATCTCCAGCAAGAAATTTTATCCATAAGTCTAATATCAATTTTTTTTTGTAAGAGAGACCATATGTAAAGGAAAGCAGTTAAGAGCAGAACTGCTCGACTTTTTTCATGCGAGAAATGTTCCCTGTATACCAAGAAATTGTCAGTCATCTTATGAATGAGGCCCCTAGAAGTCCTAAAATTGTCCAGGGAGTTATCGGAAACAAAAAAATCATTAACATGCAAATCTAACTGGCTGCTTGGCTACAACGCTGTCTGAATTCAGCTAAAGACCTCAATTAGTGATAGAAATTCAACATTAGTTCAAAATTGCAAAGAAGAGTAACCAAGAATATACAATCCATGGGAATATCAGAATTCAGCAGAATGTTGCAATAATTATTCAAGACTTCTAGTCCTGCAGCACTACTTAGCAGCCACAGGTTTGTCCCTCCATTAAATCTCATTGCCCATATTCTGCATTAATTTGCTTCATACTCTGACACCTTAAAACATTTATTGCCTATGCATATCACAACATGCTTCACAAATTGACTTGCGAAGAATTAAAACCAGCAATTTGAAGCAAACTATACTGTCATTTAATCAAAGACTAATACAAATCATCTAGGTAGCAACAAGCTGTTTCTGTTTCTCTGCAAGGAAATGCACTCATTAGTTAGACAACATTGAGATTTCCCCAGCTTTTCACAAAGAGATAAATAGGATGATCGAGATTCATCTTACAAGTACTACTTTACAGATGGATCATTTTGAAAGAGCAGCAACCAACTTCTCCTTCAAATGCTCTGCAGCACCACCTTGCGTCCGAATAGAAAACGAGTGAATAACCTTGCCATTGTCCGTCATGGAAACATCAGACTCTTGAGGAACTACTTGATGCTCTCTAAATGCATTTATAACTCCAGAAACCGGGTGGGTATCCAACGGACAGCTCACTCGAACAACTGCATCTTCATGTCTTGACTGAAAATCGATTTCTGGGACAGTGCATTGCTTTTGCTTATTGTTACCCACCTCCCTTTCTGCTTCCAAAATCCTAATCTTCGTTTGGAGATCAGTGATGTATGCAATGGCATCACCTAGCAGAGAAGCCTTGTCCATCTTAGATATATTCGGGACAACTGCTCGTAATGCATAGAACCGCTGGTTAAGCTTCTCACGCCTCTGTCTCTCTGCTTCCACGTGATTTAATGGTTCTTCCCTCCCATTGGCAGGTTTTCTACCTCTCTTTCTAGGTTTCCGCTCATCGGGTTGAATCGATGAGTCCTCTTCAGTTTGTTCCAAACTAGACATCATGGTTTGTGAATTCAAAGCTCCAACAATCACTTGGTTCATATGCGGAAACAACTTCACTTCACCATCATCACTTCGACACCCATTTGAAGAATTCCCATAGACTTGTTTACCACTTATTGCTTGCAAATCATATGACTCTGGTGGAAAATCTGAATCATCTTCCACCTTTGGGCAAAAATTTATACTGATTGGACCTGACTTTGCTCCCCCAAGACTGAGTTCTTTCCCAAATATTTTTGGAAATGCTTTTGCCTTTACAGCAAGAGAATCCCCAAGTATAGTTTTCACCATTTGAATCACACTTTTTTCTTCGGAGATTGCGTTGACAGAACCCATCTCCACTACCCCTGTTTTTACTGGAACAAACACTACTGTCTCGAATTTAGCTGATTTTGCCAAACATGATCTTGATTGGTAAAGTTCTAAACAACTTTTCATATCTGACACCCAAATCGGTCTACTAGAATTGAATGACTGCGAAGGACTCGAAGGCTTATCGAATGGGAACGAGTAATACATAGATGTGAGATAAAACATCTCCACATCCGAAACTGAATCCAACTTTGCTATAAAACTATCTTCCTCTAGTCCCCCAAAACAAGCCTGAAGCTTCCGTAGCACTCGCTTCTTTCGATCTTCTCCCTCCAATTTTTTACCCCCATGACCATTTCCACCACTAACTTCACCCTCTTTTGGTTCTCTGCAGTGCCCATCACCCCAAATCAAGGCCGATTTTCCAGATTTAGACTTTGAAACCTGCCAGAAAATAGCATAAGTCCAATTCGACCCCTCAACAATCTTGCACAGCCCCTGCTGTACTCCCAAGTCCCCTGTCGACGAAGCAAACTCCAATAAAACATCATTGGAAACCGACCAAACAAAGTATTCAAAGGCTTCCCTGCCTAATACTCCTTCCACCAGAGCCTTGTCCTCCTCATTCAACCAAAACTTCTCCATCTTTGAACTATTCAACAAAAACAATTCTTCAACACCCTCTTGGCAGCCACTTTTCACAAAAATACATACAAACCACAAATTTCAACAACTTATTGGGGACTCAGATTTCAACAACAAAAAAAAAAAAAAAATCTGACACAGACCCTTAATTCCAAAACTGTTTTGAGAGCTAGCTTTCACCAAAATATGACACAAACCCTAGAATCTGGAACTATTGACACTTTTGGGGTTATCCTAAACGACTATTTGGAAAAGAAAATTCACAAAACTGCGACACAAAACCAAGAATCTTGAAGTTCAGAGAGTTGGGTTTGTTTCAATTACAACAAGTACTTGTTTCCAGCTTGGAAAAAACCCAGAATTCTTGATTTTGGGTTATGAACAAAAACAACAGAAAACAAATTTCTTGGGAATTATTATGCAGACAAAAAATATTTGAAAGAGAAAACTATGGTTCAGACAAGGAATAACAGTTACCTGAAAATAAGATGGATCTGTGCATGAATCTCAAAGGTTGCTCATTTTTTATGTGACTTCAACGAACAATTCGGCGTCTTTAGATCTGATGTGAATTAAACTAGTGGAGCACTTTCTTTGTTTTTTTTGGGAAAAGATTTAAAAATTTATTTTGAACCCGAAATATTTAATTGTTTACATTATACCCTCAATATATTAAGAATATTATAATTTGGCTTTTAATTAATTTTTGTTACTCATTTTTTCAATGTTAATAGAGTCATTGTTAATGGAATAATTAACAAAATCTATTTAGAAGGCTCACATTAAAATATATTTAATAAAATAAAGGTATAATATAACAAATTTAATCTTTAAGGGATAAAATGAAAAATCTTAAATCGTCTAAGGTATAAAGTGAGATTCCCTCCTTTTTTTTTTTTTTTTTAATTTGGTCTTTAATTCTCTCGTGCCTAGACTTGCCAGTTTATCCACTGCCACTTGTCGTAATGGTTATGACTGTGTTGGTGAGAACTGATGTACTGTATTAAGATGCAGCTTAATAGGATAGAAAAGATTGAAGGAGGCCGTAGATCAAAAATTAAAAAAAAAAAAAAATTTAAGGCTTTTCTTTCTAGATACAGTAAAACAGTTTATCGCTGCTACCCTGCCTAGAATAATTCATTGATAAAATTCTTTTTAAGTTTTTTTATTTTTCAGTTTATCACTGTTGTTATTTCTTGTAATAATTTATATAATAAAATAAAATAATTTTGAATCTAAATGATAAAGAGCGGCTGAGATCGTTTCGTGATAAAAAATACATCATCTAATGAACGACGATTTTTTAAACTGTCTAAAGTTATTGACATCTTAGATCTTTTCTATTCGACGTACCACGTTAACTTTTAAAATACTTTTGCCGTTCAAAATTTTTAGTTTTCAAAATTGACATCAGTAGATTGAATTCGTCTATCAATCTTATTCAAAATCAATGACATCTAAATCTAAAATTCTATCTAAATCTAAAATTGTAAAATTAACGTCCATATTTAAATTTTGACCCCCTCTCACGCTGCTCTAAAAAATACCCTTTCCATACCAAAGAAATCACTTTTCCACAACAATTTCAATTTTTGAATCCCCCCCCCCCTTCCCATCACAGTGTGAGAATATCTCTTCATATGATGATGATTCTATATCATCTATCTTTGCTTTCCTTTATCACCTGCATCCATCTTGATCTTTTCATCCAATTATTTTCGATACCTCCTTTCTTCCCTGCCTCCTTCTTTTTCTCTCTTTGTTCCTCCTCTCGATCTTTGGCCCCAACGAATAGCCACCAACACCCCTTTCTCTTCTCTTTTTTTCTCTCCTCACCGAAACTCTCTCTATTCACAACGACACTATAGAGTATGGAGGCACCAACAAAGACACAATGATCCACCACCAATGATCCTGAAGCCTCACCCAGATATCCCTCTTCTCTCTCTCTGCGTATGTCTCTCCCTACCACAACCACCCTTTCCTTCCCTCCCCCCTTTGCCACCAAAACTTATAATAGCCCACCTTCACCCTATATATCCAAAGTCAAACTCTTACTTACTGCGAACCAGGACCTTCACCCCTTTTTTCTCCCCACCAATGCCACAGAAACCTCCCCAGCCAACCAACGCCTCCCAACCCCCACATGCACACATTGCTACCGAAACCCACCACAGTTATCGAAACACCAAGTTTTTGTATTATTACTTCAACAAGTTGGCCAACGTTACTCTTCAATTTTTTTAGTGACCTTAATTTGTCTAATGGCAATCTTTATATTTTTGGATTGAATTTTGCGATGTGCAGCGACCATTTATAACACGACGGAGCAACTTCAACAATTATCGATGGCACAACTCAAGTAGGACGATGATCTCCTAAAAAAGTGGTTGTTGGTTTAGGTTTGTTATTTTTTTAGTTTTACGTGTCTTTAAGTTATTTACAATCTTTTTTTGTACGTTCTAGGATATGAAGCCCTAAGATTGATTCAAGTCAAGTGCCTTTGTGAACAAGGATGAGTTTGTCTATTTGTAGTGTTTGTTTTGTCTAAAAGCTGAAAAAAATTCTGGAAGAATCAAGGAGCTATTTTGATCAAGAGCCAAGCCTTTTGTTTTTTTGGCACATTTTTGAGAATGGTTTGCATCAAAAGAAAATAAAAATGACAAGAGTCGATGTGAGGTGTATGCACGATGTTTAGTAAGTTCTCCATACTACTATTCAAGGTTCTTTTTGGTCTATGTTTTTAAATATTATTCTCTCTCTAAACAATTTCAAATCTCGACTTTATTTTAGTGCTTTGTGAACGTTCATAAATTTTGCAAGTTATACTGATTCTTATAATATACTGAAAGTCAACTTGATTTGTTATCAATATGCCTTATAGTTCATTTGATTTTGCTGCTAATTTGATTCATTCTTTAGCTTGGGTTGTAGTTAAAAATAAGTTCGCCTTCTCGAAGCAGTGTCGATGGTTGATTAAGCTATTTTTTAGGTTTGGAAGTAATAATGATGGCGGTCTTAGTAGTGATAGTTAATTTTAAAGTTGTGATGAGTGGGTGGTTGTGGGGTAAAGCTCTTGGGACAAATTTGTGCAACATAAAATTAACTTAGTTGATGAAATTTAGTTTGAATTGAATAACAAAATTAATTTAAATAGCTGACTTAGTTAGATTTAATTTCAAATTGAGCATAAATTTTGATTAGTTATCAAATTTTAGACTAAGTGGTGATAGTGATAATAGTTCTGTATAGTTGTGTTTTCAGAGGATTATATTTGAATTCTTTATGGGACTCAAATTTTATATATTCAGTTTTTCGATTTCATAATGTTAGCTTAGCTGGATTTAATCATGAAAATTTGATCAATACCAATTTTCATTGATGGCATGCTATCTCTTTATAAATATGTTTAAGTATGATATATAAAAACATCTTTACTTGACAGGGTTTGCACATCTTCATATTTTTGTAGGGTCTAATTTTTAGAAGACAAAAAATGTAATTTGACCAAGTAGAGTGTTAAAAAAATTAGTTTTAATTGATTTAGGTTTTGTTGATGTTGTTTATTATATTTTTTGTTGCAATTCATCTATTAATCCCCCTCATTTTCTTTCTATCTCATATTTATTTGATTGTGTTCATACCATAATGATTTTTGAATTTACTACTATTTGGATATCAATCAATAATTAAACGGTCATTGAATAATGTTTGAGATTGTTTTAATTTTTATTCTATAATTTTTTTTAAAAAAAAAATAATGGGCTCAAATTATATTTATCAACGCTTTTTCTTACTCTTTTTAATTGGCAATTTTTTGTGGCATACAGTCTCTTAATGCAAATGTATTTGTTTGCGATTTTTTTGTTTGTTACATCGTGCCTTCAGACACGGTTAATTACTAGTTTATTTATATTAGGAAGAATCTCACTTTGCACCTTGAAAACTTTAAAAAATTTTACTTTAGACCTTAAAAAATTAGATTTCTCATATTACACTTTTTTTTTAGGGGGTCAAATTGAGTAATGGAAACTAATAATGCAGAGCAAGTGAAGAAAACGTAATGGCGCATTAGTTTTCCTGCAAGAAATTGACCTAGTTAAGGTGCCATTTATTAAGAACTCAAATTTCGCCTTGATCAATATGAGAAAGATGCACTTAAACATGCGAAGAAAGTCGACCTTACTTAATAAGCACTTTTCTTAGATTGGGTGCTTGTTTCCACTCATTGAAGATTCTATCTACAAAAGAAAGTCTACCAACAAAAAAGAAAGAGATCTCGGTAACAAAAATTATGGGGGGCTATATTGGAGAGATCCAACGGTAAATAGCTACCCAGAAGAAAAATCACCTGGAAGTCTGAGGACCTTTAGTACTATACTCTACCCCTGAATGAGCAGCCTACATGCCAAGCAAGACCGTTCTTGTCCCTTCCTTTCTCCATTCTACCTCCTTCTGCCTTTTGATTTTGTCGTTACGTTTTGGTTACCGACGAATAGGATTGTCCATGGACTGGGCCAGGCTTGACCCATGAATTTTTTTTCAGGGCGGGCTTTGGGTAGTGTAGGCCCAAGCCCGTACTCAGGCGAGTGGCAGGTCGGGCTCAAGAAAAGGTAAGCTACCCGCAGCCCAACCCGTCATCTATTGGGGGGGCTTTGTGGGCCTGTTTAGGCGGGCTTTTGTTAGGCCTGCTGGACAGGCTTTTGTTAAACCTGTTGAAAGCAAACTATTTTAAGTTATGGTAGTCATTTAATTATAAAAATTGGTTGACTAAATTTAAAAAATTAAATGGTAATAAGTAATTTAATATAATATTGAACATATTCTTAGCATTGATAATCGATACAAATAAAATGACTTCTAGTATTACCAATAAACATAACTAAAGAGGATTTATTAAAACTAAAACATAAAAGAGAAGAAAATAAAAGGTAAGGATTTGATAATATTATCCAAATTATATTGAAATAAATCTTATATTAAATAAGACTCTAGTGCATTTATGCAATTTCATTTGAAAATATAGAAACTTGTCATCAATTAATGAAAAATAGATAGAAATAAATAATAGTAAATTTAATTATTTTAACAATTCATTTTTATCTTTTAAAAGAAAGAATATGAAAGGCTTGACTATGTGTAATATTAATGAAGTTTTATTAATATAAATTTCATATTAATGATGTTAATATTGTGAGAGTCAAGTTGTCCAATTAAAAGTTTAACATCAATCTAGTCTTATTAATATGAGTTCTAACAAGGCTAGTATTGTCTTTATATATTGTTTTAGGATTAAAGTAGTCAATCAAAATTTTTTCTAAATAGTGTACTTTTATAAGTAGTGTAGATATAGCTCTGTATATTATATATATGGTATGTGGGCTTCGGGTATGTGGGCAGGTTATTGAGCCGAACTTCGATTTTCGAGCCAGGCTTCAAGCTTTGGGTCGGGTAGTGAGTTTAAGGGTAAATTCAAACCCTTTCTTAAAGGATATTAGGTTCGGGCTTTGGCGGGCCAACTGTCGGGCCTATCGGGCTTCTGACCTATTTTTTTAGGGTCGTG